GTAAGGGTATACTCCATCGATAGCTGTCGCAGATATCTGCGGTGCATCCAGAAGTGCGATCGTATCTCAACCCACGGGTGCCTCGTGATGAAACACATTTAAGCCAAGCAGAGGAGTGGACTACGTTCGAGGTAGCTTTTAGTGTGTGGTCGATGGACATCCTCAGGGAATGCTCTACCTTAGATAACTTACTGAGGGTTTCACAGTGGCCGCCGAGGTTTACGCTTCTTAGCTACAGTTGTTCGAAGGCAGCGAAGAAATATTTGTCTGTTCACAATAGCGCTCAAGCGCATGTTGCGGAATTGTTTTGTTGGAAAATTGTGATCTTAGATGAGACGTACTGCCCCATTCTCCTTATTCGCCAGGTCTCGCCCCTGATTACCATTTGTTTCTTGCTCTGAAACGTCACAGTCGCTATAGAAACTTTGATGATTGCTCGGAACACAAATTTGAGATTTCCAGCTTTTTCGAACAGCAGCCGCCGCCATTCTGGGCATCAGGAATCAAAAAACTGCCGGATAGTTGGACACATGTTGGAGACAACGACGGAGACTACATAACTAATTGATATCCTCTTTTAATGGGAATGGGACTTTTTAAATAAAGTGTTTTACCCAAGCATGGAATTGGGCAACCACTCCCTTGCAAAATACGAGTGAGAGTTAACATATTGCCCTACGAGTCATTAGTCCTCCGGCCATGTTGTCCTCGAATCCCAGTGAGATTTTGCAAAGGTTAGTGTACTTAAAGGTTATCGCAGCAATACCAAATCAAAGCAACTTGAAACGAAGCATACCTGTGCACAGTTGCACCAACAGCGAAGCAACACCTTTTTCCAATAAAAGACAAATATCGCTTCTGGCGCTTGTACCCCTCACGAACAGGAAGCTGTCGCCTTCTTGCATAGCTGATATAGGGTAGCCAGCTTTCATCACCGGTAATAGTCCCCTCTGAGAGTGTTCTCAAGCAAAGACAGCGGAGTAAAACTCGCAGCACTCACACGTGTCCGTTCCCTAAGTTGATTGGAGTCATAGTGCTGAAGCTTTCCTTAATCCACGATGGTGTAGTGGTCATTTGACCGTGCTATGGGATACAGGTGATACGGTAATGTAGTTTTCGGTTTCTCTTTCAGATCCTAAAAATTCTCAATTGACCGTGGGGGTCACATCAACATCTCTCATCTTCAAACTGAAAGCTTCCAAGCCAACGAAACACTATAGGGTAATAGAAGGCATCGTACTCAAATGCAGCGGTTGGAGCAATCTACCCTATGTCCATGCACATTCTTGGCAAAATTCCTTCTTAAGTGGCAAGGAAAATCGGCGTATTGAAAGTGTGCATGAATTGAGAACTATTAAATGAAATCCTTAGCTCCTGATGAACTGAGGAGGATGCAATCATGCTATTCCATTGAGTGCATATTGTGAGAGCTAATA